CCTGACTGAAAATATTTAAATTTATTTTAATAAAAAGCATTTTAATTTTTATATTAAATTTTATAGTATTTGTCCTCTTTCGTTTATTCTCAGTAAACTATAATTTTGGATTTTTTAAATTAAACCATAACTCGACCAGATATAATTTTTTTTATCTCGAAACTGACTTGCTTGCAGGGCTATATTATCTCGACCACGGGTCTGAACCACGGGTCTGAACCAAGGGTCTGTGCTCCGAGCAGGCCTGAGCATAAAATTGGTTCGTAAATTTTACAACCAAGCAAATTAACAACACTAATTATATGGTTATTTATTGTGGATAATTTTTGTAAAGTCAAATCATTAAAGAAATAAAAATGAAATCCTAAAAATGGTGTCTAATGTGTCTTATTGTGAACTCATTTAATTTTACGATATGCATATTCATGGTATGGTATATACACATGTGAATGTGTTTATTAATGTGTCTCATTTTTAATTTTTTTAATTTTTCGATATGCATATTTTGATGGTATATAACACAAGTGTGAAAGTGTTTATTAATTTATGTAATTATGGTTTTTGGAAAATTAAAAAATTAATAAATTATAATCAAAATAATTTTTTTCTTAAGAAGAAATTTTTTTTAATTAATTAATTTAATATCGTAAATTAAAAAATTTTTTTTTGTAATTAATTAATTAATTAAAAAAATATTTTTTTAAAAAATTAAGTGTGTATAATAATGATATGCCACTAGTAGATTGTGGGATTTTTTACTTACAAGTCATTATTATACCAAAGAAACCCTAGAGAGTCTCAAACACTTTGGGAATGACAACGAAAAAAATAATAATAGTAGTAGAAAAAATTCGAAATAATGCTAACGGGTTCAAAGAATTATAACATGGGAACACGTAATTCAGAATCTAATAATATCACCATAAAACAATATGGCAAGAGACCATGGCCTTCAACAAGTTATCAATGAAATTAAGTAAAGAAAGATAATGGAACGACCGGATATAGGGAAGATAGAAGTCATAATACAATGTTACAAACTGACAATGAAATGGAGGAAGCTGCAATGTTTCAATAACAAATATTAACAACAATACTTAGATTCATTAGGAACAAAATGATTTTTAGATTCCGAATAATACAAATACACATATATATATTTTTTAATTATGACATACGGTACATATCCGTGGCCCGTTAGGGGTGGACATGTTGTAATCATCAAAAAAATAATAAATATATATAGTGAATAATATATCAAATCAACCAAGGTTTCAACCCGACCCCTTTCAATTTTTCTTAAATTTTGTATACTGGTAGTCAGGGTTTAACATTTGCTCAAAATTCAAAAATCTTCACAGATCGTTGCTCTTTTGAAGATCAAAAAATGCGAAGATTTTTTCGCTAAAAAAAATTTTGAGCTTGCTCAAAGAAGATTTTTGAGCAAAATAAAAAATATTTTTTGTAAAAAAATCTTCTATAATTTTGAGAAAATATTTTGAGAATTTTATAATAAAATAAAATCTTTTGTAAGGAAATCTTTATTAAAATATTTTTGAAATTTTGATCTTAAAATTTTTTGGTAAATTCTTTAAAAATAAAATTTTTGATATATATTTTTTTTTATTTTATTATGTTAATGAAAATATTTTTTTTGAATAGGTTGTAAATGTGAGAATTGGTCATAATACCGACTGCATTTTTTTTAATATTTGGAATAAGTAATAATGATTATTTTAAAAATGTAATGTCATAATTTTAATGTTTTATATTTAATGTAAACTATAAAAGTGACAATTGTCATAATACTCATCTCAGAACCTTTAAAAATAATTATAATTAAAAAAGGCTAGTTGAGCATGTTTTGAGATGGTTTCAGTGATTGTAAAGCATATAAAGGTGACAATTGTCATAATACTTATTTCACATATGTTTTAATTGGAAATAGAGAAAAATGATTATTTCAAACATGAATTAATATAATGTGTAAACTATAAAAGTGACAATTGTCATAATATTCATAACAGAACCTATAAAAATAATTTTATTTTTAGGTATTAAATAGGCGAGAAAAAATTTTTTGAGCATGTTTCGAGATGGTTTTAATGATTGTAAAAATTGTCACAATCGTTATTTTTGAACTTTTTTAAAGCAAGTAGATAAAAATTTATTAAATATAAATAAATGTGGATGTACCATAGAGCAGTGACAATTGTCATAATCGTTATTTTTGAACTTTTTTGAATTTTTTTGAAGCAACAGAGTAAAATAATAAATTGTAAACATGTTAAATTGAAATTTAAATGTGGATGTACCATAGAAAAGTGACAATTGTCATAATCGTTATTTTTAATCTTTTTTGAATTTTTTTGAAGCAAAAGGGTAAAATTATATATTGTAAACATGTTAAATAAAAATTTCAGTGAAGATGTACCATAGAAATGTGACAATTATCATAATTGTTATCTTTGAACTTTTTTGAATTTTTTTAAAGCAAATAGGTAAAAATATATATTGTAAACCTGTTAAATTAAAATTTCAGTGAATATGTACCATAGAAAAGTGACAATTGTCATAATCGTTATTTTTAATCTTTTTTGATTTTTTTTGAAGAAATTATATATTGTAAACTTATTAAATTAAAATTTCACTGAAGATCTACCATAGAAAAGTAAAATTGTCTTAATCGTCATTTTTAATCTTTTTTAAATTTTTTTGAACTTACAGGGTAAAATAATAAATTGTAAACTTGTTAAATTTAAATGTGGATGTACCATAGATAAGTGACAATTGTCATAATGGCCTTTTTTAATCTTTTTGGAATTTTTTTGAAGCAAAAGAGTAAAATAATAAATTATAAACATGATAAATTAAAATTTAAATGAGGATGTACCATAGAAATGTGACAATTGTCATAAACGTTTATTTTAATCTTTTTTGAATTTTTTTTAAGCAAAAGGGTAAAATTATATATTGTAAACATGTTAAATTAAAATTTCAGTGGAGATCTACCATAGAAAAGTGACAATTATCATTTTTAATTTTTTATTTAATTTTTTTGAACTTAAAGGTAAAATAATAAATTGTACACATGTTAAATTAAAATTTCAGTGAATATGTACCATAGATAAGTGACATATCTAATTCTCAACTCCCTTTTGAAATTATTTTAATATATATATTTTGAAATTATCACATTACTCATAGTCATATCCATTATTTTTAAATTAGGTTAATATGATCTTGTTGGGAAACACTTAAACCTCTGGGCAGATGATAATAGTATCATATATGTTAAATTTTTAGAGCCAACCGGAACGGAGTTGAACTAGAAAGATGCATCAATATAAACATGATATTTTTGGGAACAACAAATTTAAAAATATTTTTTCTTTAATCTTTTAAATCAATTTTAGATCTTAGAAACTACTATTTGGATATATCTAGTAAAATACGCCCCCCTCTGATTATACTATTCATACAAAAAATCTAAATCAGTCAAATATATGAATTTTTATTTATTAAAATTTCAATGTAAACAATAACTTTATAATGAAATAGGTTATATAAATAATTATTTAAAATATCACATTATTTAACAATGTACGATTAAGCTTTATAATTAAAATATCATCAAGTATATCTTTGTCTAATCTTGTCCTTAGAGAGGTTACAGTTAGTGCCAATGCACTAAATGCTCTCTCAACTGAGACCTGGGTGCAAGGAGCAGCAAGAATTATTTGAGATAATTTAAATAATTCTGCATCTTGGTGTTTTCTTGAAACCCAATATTGCAAAATATCTTGTGAGGATGGCAATCTTTTGTTGTATAATAACGATTTTATTTTTAGCTTGATATCGCTATTACATAATTCATAAAATATAGGTCCCTTCTTGCAATCACGCTCAATGTAAAGGTCAAGTTTTGTTTTTTTATAATCACTAGTGGAAGGCATAACTAGAGTTGTATTTTCTTCATGAGGGTCAATAGCTTGCAATTGTTTCCAAGTTGCAAATATATGTTCCTAAAATAAAAAGATGTATATTATAAATTTATTAATTTACCCTGGCTAATATTTTATCTTCTTCCAAAGGATATTTTCCATTTTCATAATGGAATCTAGGATCCATATATATCGCACTACGAAATGCGTCATTTTGAAAAAGATAGCTTTCTCTAATGTTTAAACATTCCAACATACTTTTAGATAAATTATTATCCATTTCCTCCAGCTCCATTTTGCATTCTAGCCATGAAGCAAAAAAATCACCTATTACAATATTACTTTTTTGTAATTTCATTGTGAATTTGTATAATGGGAAAAGGACTGATGTACCTAATAGGATAATATCCCATAAATCGAAACTAATAAAAGTTTCTGGGTATAATTCACCCATTTTAGTATAAAAGGTTTTATTATCCATTAGATTTTTCATCATTAGATAAGTACTATTCCACCTAGTAACAGTATCTAGCGTGGGTTTCGAAACTTTGTCCATTATAAATAATCTTTTATATTTGTGAGATTTTATCAATTTAATTATAATACGAATTTTCTCTAAGTCTAGTTTTAAATATTTTTTGATAAACATGTTTACAGCAAGTTGTATAGTATGTGCAGAACATCTAATGCAACTTAAGCCAAAGCTTTTGCTTATATCATCTGATATATTTTCCTCGTCAATACCCTCTGGTGTTTCTTCATCAGAATAAACGGAGACATTTTCATCATCAATACATACATTTTCCTGATAACTTACACTTGTATTAAATAATATCTGGCTTAAATTGTTTTCATTAGAATTAGATAGATCATTATCATTATTTAATTGATCTCTAGCCATAGTGTCAACCATTTTAAGCATATTGGCGCCGTTATCCACAGTAATGCTATATATTTGTTTTAAATCTATCTGGTATTTTTTTAAAATTGTTTGGATTTCTTCTTTTAGGTTTATACCTGTGAATTTTTATTAGTTCTATCATTCCTAGTGTTCGTACTTGTATCTGGCCATCTTTTATATACTGAACATTAATACCTAATATTGATTTATTATATCTAGTAGCAGTATCAATTTTTAAAGAAATGAGCTTGTTTTTTAATTCATGTATAATTTGAAGTCTAATTTCGGATGCGGTATATTTTATTTTGTCGACCACTGACCGAGTATTTATTTTCATTTGAAGAGAATGACATATAGGGTCTAGTAAAATACGGAAACCCTCATAATTTACTAAATTTATGGGTAAATTATGGACTGTAATCAACCATACTATACATTCAAAAACCTAAAAAATAGTTATTTATTCTTTATTTAAATATTAATTACTTTAGATTTATCGATCTTAATTTTTGGGAATTTTTCTTTTGCTGTATTTCTAGCATTGAAGGACGAATCACTATTAGATTCATCTGCTTTCATTATGTTTGGGTGTTGAGAGGTTATGTGTCTTTTAAGATTTGCTAGAAAAAGATATTGAAAAATACATTAAATAATTTATTTTACATGGTATTGACTTCATCTTTTTGTCACACATGCTGCACGTCGCTAAATTTTCAGAAGAATCGATTAAAAAATGCTCCTTTAGAATATCTTTAAGATTTTTTTTATTTTGCATTATATATAAAAAAAAAATTTTGTAATTTTTAATTTTAACTTTCTTGTTTTTTCCTTTTATTTTTATTTTCACTTGTTTATTATATTTTGAAATAAAAAATCAGGAATTAATGTTATATAAAATAAAAAAAATGAATAAAATAATTGTTTTATTGAGGCCAAATAAAACCCCCATTTATAAATTTGGATGGGATACATTTATTTAATGTTTTTTTTATTTATATTTATAAAAAATCGAATGTTAAATGAAAATATAAAAAATGCATTTTCTTTTCTTTTCGTTTTTCCCATTGTCTCTCTCTCCCTCCTTTATTTATTTTTATTTAATGTTTTGCCTTATGAATTAAAGAAAATAAAAATCTAAAAAAAATGAAATTTGCTGGTGCCAGCGAGGCGGCACCAGATTGAAAAAAAGTATTATATAATTTTTTTTTTATAAAATTGAATTCAAATTTTTTTTTAATTTTCATTGCTGTAATGTAATGGTACCCAAAACCGATACGTTTTCCCCCTTGAAGGAGCGAGTTTGACGGATGGCCTCTTATTCTGTTTATGGCTATTGCAATTTTTTCCTGACTCCAATTGCTATATTTCTTTTGTTATCAGAGTTTATTGTAGAAAAATTTATTTGATTGGGTTAAGAATTATTTGTTATACCAAATAAAACTGAATTTGAAATATTTTGAGAATAAGATGGTTCTTACTGTGAGGAAAAATCTAAAAGATTATATATAATAAACAATATAATGTTAATTGGTACCAACATGTAGATGTAGAAAGATTTAAGAGACCTGGAGATAGTGACTATTTTACTAATTTTGTAATTTTTAATATCTTAAAAAATGGGAATTTTATTTCCTGGGAATTATATTCATAGATTCTTTTTAATGTTTACCTAATAGATTTTAAATAATAAACTAAAGTTAAAATTTTTTAGCCCGCTAATTGTTAAAATTTTGTAACCGATTCGCTCGCACTTTTTAAAATTATTAAGCTAGGCCGCCCATGGACGGGCTTCAGCTAAAAACCTGCTCGTTTCAGCAAATAAATTCTAAAATGATCATAATGATTATGACAATTGTCATTTTTCTATGGTACATCCTCATTTAAATTTTAATTTAACATGTTTACAATATATAATTTTATATTTTTGCTTCAAAATAATTTAAAAAAGATTAAAAATAACGATTATGACAATTGTCACTTTTCTATGGTAGATCTCCACTGAAATTTTAATTTAACATGTTTACAATATATAATTTTACCCTTTTGCTTAAAAAAAATTCAAAAAAGATTAAAATAAACGTTTATGACAATTGTCACATTTCTATAGTACATCCACATTTAAATTTTAATTTTACATGTTTATAATTTATTATTTTACCCTTTTGCTTCAAAAAAATTCCAAAAAGATTAAAAAAGGCCATTATGACAATTGTCACTTATCTATGGTACATCCACATTTAAATTTAACAAGTTTGCAATTTATTATTTTACCCTGTAAGTTCAAAAAAATTTAAAAAAGATTAAAAATGACGATTAAGACAATTTTACTTTTCTATGGTAGATCTTCAGTGAAATTTTAATTTAATAAGTTTACAATATATAATTTCTTCAAAAAAAATCAAAAAAGATTAAAAATAACGATTATGACAATTGTCACTTTTCTATGGTACATATTCACTGAAATTTTAATTTAACAGGTTTACAATATATATTTTTACCTATTTGCTTTAAAAAAACTCAAAAAAGTTCAAAGATAACAATTATGATAATTGTCACATTTCTATGGTACATCTTCACTGAAATTTTTATTTAACATGTTTACAATATATAATTTTACCCTTTTGCTTCAAAAAAATTCAAAAAAGATTAAAAATAACGATTATGACAATTGTCACTTTTCTATGGTACATCCACATTTAAATTTCAATTTAACATGTTTACAATTTATTATTTTACTCTGTTGCTTCAAAAAAATTCAAAAAAGTTCAAAAATAACGATTATGACAATTGTCACTGCTCTATGGTACATCCACATTTATTTATATTTAATAAATTTTTATCTACTTGCTTTAAAAAAGTTCAAAAATAACGATTGTGACAATTTTTACAATCATTAAAACCATCTCGAAACATGCTCAAAAAATTTTTTCTCGCCTATTTAATACCTAAAAATAAAATTATTTTTATAGGTTCTGTTATGAATATTATGACAATTGTCACTTTTATAGTTTACACATTATATTAATTCATGTTTGAAATAATCATTTTTCTCTATTTCCAATTAAAACATATGTGAAATAAGTATTATGACAATTGTCACCTTTATATGCTTTACAATCACTGAAACCATCTCAAAACATGCTCAACTAGCCTTTTTTTAATTATTTTTAAAGGTTCTGAGATGAGTATTATGACAATTGTCACTTTTATAGTTTACATTAAATATAAAACATTAAAATTATGACATTACATTTTTAAAATAATCATTATTACTTATTCCAAATATTAAAAAAAATGCAGTCGGTATTATGACCAATTCTCACATTTACAACCTATTCAAAAAAAATATTTTCATTAACATAATAAAATAAAAAAAAATATATATCAAAAATTTTATTTTTAAAGAATTTACCAAAAAATTTTAAGATCAAAATTTCAAAAATATTTTAATAAAGATTTCCTTACAAAAGATTTTATTTTATTATAAAATTCTCAAAATATTTTCTCAAAATTATAGAAGATTTTTTTACAAAAAATATTTTTTATTTTGCTCAAAAATCTTCTTTGAGCAAGCTCAAAATTTTTTTTAGCGAAAAAATCTTCGCAAAAAATTGATCTTCAAAGATTTTTTCCTCAAAATTTTGGGCGAAAAAAATCTTCAAATTTTTATTTGAAGATTTTTGTAAAACCCTGCACTATAACTAAGAATACAATAAAATTTTACACTGTTTACCGCTAAGATATGCCCGTTTAAAGCGCAGAAAAATGGTACATTTTCGACAAAATGTTTCAAATATCTCGAGAAATAATTATGTTAGAAAAGTAATTAAATTATTATGTAGTTTAATAATAGTTCTTTAATATGACATAAAAATAAATACGATATAAATCTGATTAATATCGAAAACCGGATGATAAAACCGGAATGGCCATTAAAAAAAGATATTTTTTATTAAAATTTTTTTTTCTGTAGATAGATATCACACTGCTTTATATTTTACAAAATCCTAGACTGGGATGAACATGGGTTTAGGATTTATGACTCTTTATATGGCTAAAATTGAACAAATTTAACCCAAAATATCATCATATTTAAATTTAATGAATAGTTATGAAATAATGTTAATTTAAAAATTATGTCTAAATGACAGGCCCTTACTTTTTTTTTATCTTTATCAAAATTATTGACAGGTGTCTGGGATAATGAGTTTTGTTTAACACTTAAGTTATATTTTGTCTCGAAGTTAATTGACAAAATAATTTTATATATTTTATTTAGCATAAAATAATCTACCAAAATTAAATTCAACAATAAATTTTCCCCATATCTTTAAAATTAAAAGAAAGGCTTAATATATTATTTGACCAGAATTCTGTATATAACATTCAAACAATGGATAGCTAATCGAATTAGCCTTGAAACACTGACAAAATTCGCTGACGAATTTGTAAATTATTTAATTGAATAATTAAACAATTTGATTCCTCATTTCTTTATAACTTCAGGATAATCATTAATTCGACTTTTTAAAATTTAATTTAAATTTTGGCGAATCTTAGTTATTGCAGGCCTTTCAGAAAACTATGCATTTGTATTGCAGGACCATGCACAAGGATTTAATCAGACCACTAATCAGGCCATTATCACCCTTTTATGATTTATTACCGTGAGGACAACATAATAAAACATGCAAATTTAGTGGTTATATCAGATTATTTAAAGCCCAACGCATGTGCATTTTATTTATTTCAAAAATTGATCATATTCTTGAATGAAAGATTTGATATAGTGGCTAAAATTTATTATTTTTCTGATGGAACAGTAACCAATATAAAAATTAAATCATTAATCTCTACAATCATGAAAATGATTTTGGGATAAAGGCTGAGTGACATTTTTTGAAACCGCACAAGGTAAAAATCCTTGTGACATATGGACCGTTACTAAGCGGTTAGCAGCTCGAGCAAGCTTGCAACGCCCATATGAACATCACATATTGACAACAATGGATTTATTTAACTATGTAAGAAATAATATATATGAGGAAAATTATATATCTGTGAGCAATAATAAATATATTAACATAAAAAGATTTTTGAGAGCAAAAAAAATTTCTGGAACAAAAAGTTCCATGCTTTTATTCCTCTAGGCGAAAACAAAAGTCAAAATTTATTCAAATAGAGAACTATTTTTTAAAAAAAAAATTCTCTTCACGGGGCTATTCAAATTTTTCAGGGGGTTATATCTCCTGCGCCCCAGTGAAGCTACTGTAGCTATGCTACAAAAATAAGGGCTAAGGTTTATTTAAGATATTGAGAAATTCAATAATTTATTAAAGGTTTTTTTCATGTGTTCATGAATTATTAGAATTATTATATATTAAATTTCTACAAGTATTTTTATAGAATTGTGATAAGCTTAAGTTTATCTCTTTTCTACACTACCAATGTTTTAATTATATTAGTAATACATACCTAAAATCTAATATTTTAAATATGTATTAGAATGATTGTTTTAGGGATTGACATTTATTTTAGTTATTTGATATGGATGGCATAATTATTATAAAGATGATTACAAGATAATTAAATGAATGTAATTATTACTTATACATGAGATAAATTGTGATATCTAGTAAAAGTTATTATTCTATATCTTCTAATTTTTCCATTTTCAAGCTATATGTACAATTAAAATATGCTGTTATCTTTCCTTTTGTTTGAGAATATAATAATGATGAAGCGTCAAGTT